TAATGCCACATTTGCAGCAACTCATTTTTTAAATCTCAAGAAAATCATTTTATTAAAGCTGATGTATTATAGTTACTGTAAAGATTGTAACTAATGTAGTATTAATGCTATCTTCATACACCTTAAAAACTTTAAATTCAGACAGTAGAGTCCTTTTACTTTTTTCCCACAGAGCATTCGATTGCATTTATTTGGCACTCTGAAATAGGCTCATTCTAGTCCATTTGCTTCTTTTTTCTTTTTAAAGTAATCTCTATGCCCAGTATGGGGCTCAAAATCATGACCCCAAGATCAAAAGTCACCTGCTCTATTGACTGAGCCAGCCTGGCACCCCCATTTGCTTCTTAATTAGAGTCCTTTACTTTTGATTGAGCTCTTTGTAAGACAACATAATGTATAAATTCCTCCTATTTATGCCCTGAAATTTATTTATTTTTTTTTAAATTTTTTTTCAAGGTTTATTTATTTTTGCGAGAGAGAGAGACAGAGCATGAACGGGGGAGGGGCAGAGAGAGAGGGAGACACAGAATCGGAAACAGGCTCCAGGCTCTGAGCCATCAGCCCAGAGCCTGACGCGGGGCTCGAACTCACGGACCGCGAGATGGTGACCTGGCTGAAGTCAGACGCTTAACCGACTGCGCCACCCAGGCGCCCCTAATTATGCTCTGAAATTTAAATCAGAGGGTGCAAAGTGGTAAAATGAATGCTAAATCCTACCTGTGTGTTTTGATGTTTTTTTTTTTAATTGAAATATTAATCTACTTATTTTTGTAACTGGCTAATGGATCAATGGTACATCCTCCTTAGAAATATGCTAGTAATTACAAAGGGCTGAACTTTACCACTCCTCTGTTCCTCAATGAAGGGATATCTTTTCAGGTCATCTTTATTCAAATCTGGATAAGGAAGTATATTCACCTATAAAAATGATTACTTAGCCTCAAATGAAACTATGAAGTTATTGCAAAAATACTGTAAGAGATACAAAAAGATATAGACATTGTAAAGCAAGTATATGGACACTGTCCCTTTCAACTGAAGGGATTATTAAAAAATGTCCTCATTGGGGCGCCTGGGTGGCACAGTCGGTTAAGCGTCCGACTTCAGCCAGGTCACGATCTCGTGGTCCGTGAGTTCAAGCCCCGCGTCAGGCTCTGGGCTGATGGCTCAGAGCCTGGAGCCTGTTTCCGATTCTGTGTCTCCCTCTCTCTCTGCCCCTCCCCCATTCATGCTCTGTCTCTCTCTGTCCCAAAAATAAATAAACGTTGAAAAAAAAAACTTAAAAAAAAATAAATAAAAAAAAATAAAAAATGTCCTCATTAAAAAAATGTTTATTTATTTATTTTGAGAGAGAGAGAGTGAGCAAGCATGTGAGTGGGGTAGAGAGAGAATTCCAAGTGGGCTGTCAGAGCAGAGCCTGAGGAGGGTTTTGATCTGACAAATCGGGAGATTATGACCTGAACTGAAATCCAGAGTTGGACACTTAACCGACTGAGCCACCTACATACCCGCAAACAAATGTTTAAAGTAATTCAGGAAAAAAAGTCAGATTAATGGTGTCATATTTCCACATATTTTCCTTCAAGACTTTATTGAAGTCACCAGCAAACTAAGAGAGAGAAGCAGAGGGTAACAAAATTAGTTTAGAAAAGGGCATTCAAAAAAAAAAAAAAAAGGAAGAAAAGGGCATTCAATATAGTCACTGGTATGTATAATTGACTAGAGGCAAATAGATCATATTCCTACAAGACTTTTTATTGAATTGGATTGTCAAAGAAATCTTGAGCTCAGACTAAAAAAAAAAATCATTTGGCTATTTGAGACCTAAAATAACAAATTCCACAGCAGAAGACAGGCTTTGAAAGCCACCAACGATGGAAAATCCACTTTAAGTGTGACTGAAGAGAACAATGGATCTAGTATTTATTTCCAGAGTGAAAGAAAAATCGGGGAACTTTCCTCATCTCAAGTCTTTATAATTTCTGCTGAGTGAGATTTTACTATTGTTATGGACAGTGATCATTATATCCAAATGGAGGGTTTTTTTTGGTATTTTGTTTGTTTGTTTTTTTGTAATACCCATCTCAGTTTTATCACTGTTTATTGGGTATGTTTGTGGGGCAGATAACTTGTCTTTTCGGTTCACTTTTCAGGAGAAGGAGGAGTCCTGAATTTTGGTAGAGTTGGAATCCTGAATTTTGTCTTACTTGGCAAGAAAGTCACAGTGCTTTATGCTTGGGAGGAAGAGTAAAATGGATGCTTTTTATTTAGTGAGGGGAGGTGTGCAGATACAGGTTCTATATTTACCAATCTAGTTTTTCTTAATCATCATTATTATTACATTGGGAACATGTGACTGCCTAATAAATAATCGAAGATGGGCAGAAGTGTAGTTCTTTTTTCAGTCCCGGCCACAAAACTTCTTGAAATCTTTCACTTCCTTCCCCTATCAGCTTCCATGGAAGCAGCATATTTTGAGATAATGACATACAGTGAAAGGAACACAGATTTTTCGATTCACTATTTGAAGGAAAAGCCCCTACCAGAACCATCCAACTTCCAATGGGCTGTGGTATAATTGAGAAAAAATTGTTCGGCGAAACTGCTGAGATTTGGGGTTCTATTTTATAGGAATCGGTTTAACTATTGCTGGAGAGAAACCGTAAGGTAAACAAATATATAAAGTCATAAAGGTAGTGAGAAGTCCTGTTATTGAGGATAAGGATTAGGAATTATTCTGATACTGGGAGTCATGAAACTCTTTAGTTAGGGGAGTGACACGATCTAACCTCGGGTTGAAAGAGAAGATGGACGGGCAAAGGTGTCTGCAGGGACAGCAGTTAGGAAACTGTTGCAGTAATTCAGGTAAGAAATGATGATGGCTTTGGACAGATGGTAGCAGTGGAAATGGTGAGAATGTGTTCTGTTGTGCACGGATCCCAAAGGTAGAACTGACAGTACGTACAGACAGCCTAGATGTGGCTTATGAGTGAAAGGGATGGGTAAAGGAGGCCCCAAGAATTGTGTGGCAGTTTCCTGACATGGGAAGGATAGCAGGAGAGACGGCATGTCTTTAGAACACGAAAGGTAAGCAGTTCCGTTTTTACTCCTAGGAGACTCAGGAATAAGTCAAACTGAATGTTTCTCAAGCCTACCTAGTTAAGGTTGACTTACGATCAGTGATTAAAAAAAAAAAAATTCACATTGGGGCGCCTGAGTGGCTCAGTCCGTTGAGTGTCCAACTTCAGTTCAGGTCATGATCTCCAGACAGTGAGTTTGAGCCCTGCTTAGGGCTATGTGCTGACAGCTCAGAGCCTGAAACCTGCTTCGGCTTTCCCTCTCTCTCTGCCCCGCCCCTGCTCCTGGTCTGTTCTGTCTCTCCAAAATGAATAAACATTAAAAAAAATTTTTTTAAATGCACTGAAATTAAGTAATACAAATTCCTTCAAGTTATTAAGCTCTCAAAAAATTAAATTTCTTTCTCCTTATAAAGTTATCTTTAAAGTTAAAAAAAAAAGACTCCCTCATTTTTTTATTGCAGTGAGTCTGAGCATTGCATTAGCCCTGCTGGATGGAGTTAGATCTTGAACTCAGCAACAGCAATCAAGGCCAAAAATTCTCATTCTTACAGGTTTCCAAGAGAGTTCCCAGAAGTGAGTGTAGTGTTGATCTCTGTCGTATTGCTTTTGCTTGTCAAAACTTAGTATGTCGGAGGATAGAGAGATAATGAAAAAACGGAAAAGATTAATGTTACCACTATTCTGTAGGCTAGTAGCTAGTTTGTGCCAGTTATTTTAATTTATAACTATGTAAGTGCTGTCATCAGGAGTTTCTCAGATGATTGTCATTTGTAGCTTCATCTATTTCATTGGGGGAAATTTTACCCATGCATAGGGTCTTTTTAGACAGTGGCAATGAGATTTCAAAATTTTTGAGTATTTTTGCATGTTGGGACACTGATGTTATTTAACTTTTATCCAAGGTTTCCTTTGTCCTTTTAGCGTTCCTCCCTCTATCTTTTTATTTAAATTTTATTTACTAACTTTGAATGGGAGAGAGAGAGGGCAAGAGAGAGCACAAGTCGGGGAGGGATAGAGAGAGAATCCCAAGCAGTCTCCAAGCTCAGCGCAGAGCCCAATGCAGGGCTCAAACTCACAAATTGTGGGATCATAACCTGAGCCAAAGTCAGGAGTCCGATGCTTAATCAACAGAGCCACCTAGGTGCCCCCTAAAGATCTTAATCACATGTTTGTTGCTCCTTTTGTGTTACTAAATACACAATCCTACGATGAATCAAATTAAAGAGATGTCAAAGTTTGTGCCCTTTTGGGCCCCAAAGAATTAAAATTCAAAATCTTTTTCTCAGCTTCTGAATTTTCTGGGTCACTAAAAACCCATGTCACCATATGAGCAGCAGGAACCTCACTTCTGGCACACTTTTCCACCGGAAGTAGTGTATGACTCCAGCCTCCCTGTGCCCTCAATTCTTCTACTATTGTATGCAGTCCCGGGGGAGCCTTAAAAATGTTAACTGATTTCTTAATTAAGTTCTGTTTCTTCCTACCTCATCTAGGATCAACTCTATTTGCAGGCTCTCAGTCGTTTACATTTTCTTTTCCCCTGATTATCAGGTTCAAATAGACTTCACTAGGAACTGATTTATGGGGATTCGCGTATTTGTAGATATGACACTGTGAGTTTGCCAAAGCATTTGTTCATTGCCCAAACAAATACAGTCCATCTTCTCATGTCTGAGTTACTCTTTTATCAGCCCAATACCTAATTTCAGCCTGATTTCTATCTGTTGTCACTGTGGTAGGGTGTGAAATGGCTCCAACTTTGTTCTAATCCCTAGACTCCGTGAATGTTACCTTATTTGGCAATACATAGGTCTTTGAGAGATGTGATTAAATGGAATTGTGAATTTAAATTTTGAGATAGAGAGATTGTACTGGATTATCTGAGTGGGTCCTAAATGTAATCAGAACGTATTCTTATAGAGGGAGGCAGAGGAAGATTTGAACACACCCAGGAGGGAAAACCTTGGAAAGCACAGAGCAGACAGAGGTTTGATGGTGCATTCCTTGAAGACTGGAATGATGCAGAGGCAAGTTAAAGAACGCTAGCAGCCACAGGAAGAAGCTGGAAGAGCCAGAGCTCTCCAAAAGCCTATCGAGGGGTTCATGGCCCTGCCAATACATTAATTTCAGCCCAGTAAAGCTGATTTTTGACCTCCAGAACTGTGAGAGAATGAATTTTTGTTGGCTTATGCCTCCAACTTATTGAGAATTTGTTGCGACAAAAAAATGAAGATAGCCATCATGTTTAACTTCATGCCAGTTTGTGTGTCTTCTAATTTCTAATAAAGTTATAATTCCATGTACTTTGGTATGCTTTCTCATCCTCCTGCTGATACTTTTCTAAATGAGTAATCTTTGGTAAATCATTTATCTTCTCTGTGACTCATTTTCCTAATGTTTAAGATGGGAGTGATAATAATATCTACTTCATGGTTATTATACAAGCTTAAGTTAATATTTGTTAGGAGCTTAGAACAGCGCCTAGCACTGGCAAGCATTATGTAAATTGATATTAAACACATGATATATATATATATATACACACACACACACACACACACACACACACACACATATATATATATATATAATTTATTGTCAAATTGGTTTCCATACAATACCCAGCGCTCATCCCAACAGGTGCCTTCCTCAATGCCCATCATCCACTTTCCCCTCTCCCCAAACCCCTCATCAACCCTCAGTTTGTTCTCAGTATTTAAGAGTCTCTTATGGTTTGTCTCCTTCCCTCTCTGTAACTTTTTTTTTTCCCTTCCCCTCCCCCCTGGTCTTCTGTTGAGTTTTTCAGGATCCACATATGAGTGAAAACATATGGTATCTTTCTTTCTCTGCCTGACTTATTTCACTTAGCATAATACTCTTCAGTTCCATCCACGTTGCTACAAATGGCCAGATTTCATTTTTTCTCATTGCCAAGTAGTATTCCATTGTGTATTAAACCTCATCTTCTTTATTCATTCATCACTTAATGGACATTTAGGCTCTTTCCAAAATTTGGCTGTTGTTGAAAGTGCTGCTATAAACATTGGGGTACAAGTGTCCCTATGCATCAGCACTCCTGTTTAAACAGTAGATGAAACATTTGGAGGGAAGGATAATGGGGGAGAGCCGTGGAATGATGGTTGTCTCCCCTTTAACTGCCTTATGTCACATTTTCAAAAGAAATAATTTGGAAACAAACAATTAAAAAATTCTATTTGTATGTATGTGTTTTTTTTTAGATAGTGTTTATTCAAAAGAAAGACATATTGCCATCATATGTTTAAATCTCTAAAAATTATTTACATATTTAGGAAATAGCCATTTAAAATTTTGGATGGAAAAAGTACATCATAAACATCATTTCTATATAAATGAAGTCTGATGAAAAAATACCACAAGCCAATCAATATGTGAGACTGGTGTTTTTAATATACTAAATAAAAGTCTTTGGAAAAGAAAGTAAATATTTGTAGATCTCATTGATTTCTGCAATGGAATCTGAAAAAAAGGAAAAGAAGATATTAGTTTTATATAATAAAATTACAAAATTACTCACACAGCAAAATTGCTTTTGTTTTTTTATGATTTTAATGTTAAAAGACTCTATTGAAACAAATCCATGTTATGATTAAAATGCACATTTAAGACAATCAAGTTTTTCTTCTATCTTCTTGTATATATTATGCACAGTCTTATGACAATTTATTTTACAATGCAATTTTAATTCAATATTTTTTATTATTAAAAAAAATTTTTTTTAATGTTTATTTGTTTCTGAGAGAGAGAGAGAGAGAGTAGGGGAGAGGCAGAGTAGAGGAAGACACAGAATTTGAAACAGGTTCCAGGCTCTGACCTGTCAGCACAGAGCCTGATGCAGGGCTTGAACTCAGGAATGGCAAGATTATGACCTAGGCCGAGGTCAAACACTTAACCAACTGAGCCACCCAGGATCCCCTTAATTCAATATTATGCTTTATTTGCATGCATGTATATATTATACAGGATTCCTTTGTGTGAGGTCTTGGGTTCAGATCAACACAATCTTTTGATACTGAATGATTTGAAATAGAATTCCTTCTCTGCCTTGAGAGACATTTAGAAAATAGCATACTTTCTCTTTTAAGTTGTGAACTAAGTAAATATAGTAAGAAACTAAACATAAATGCTTACTGAAAATGTGAAATTATTAAATTTGTCTAATATTTTGAACTAGTTCATTAACAATAATCTTTGTCTTATATAATAATAAAATAAGTAAAAACCCAAGGAATATAGTAAGTATTAAAATTGGAAGTCTTTTAATTTCCTTGGCAAGAGCTGTCATTAAGAGGCATCACCAACAGTATTAACTGCTATCACATTTGATTTTCAATTCTACTTTAACTGCTGATATCACTTCAGTAGAAAATCTGATTTGACTGACAGTAAAACAAAGCCTTGCCATTTTCCTGTCCAATTTTATAACAGTACAATTAAAGCCGATTTGGGAAGGAATGAAAGAGAACTTGCAAAGAGGGTAACCAAGATTTTTGTTCAATAAGAGTAACCAACTCAGGTGGAATGAGTCCAAATGAGCTTTTTGAACAATGCCTTTCTTCCCAGGACAATGTTTAATGGGGGATGGATGTAGTTTTGTGGGGGAAAGGGGTGGCGACTGGGAGATTTCAGATCTAAATGTTTGTGTTTGTTTCCTGAGACAGTGGCTTTTGGTGTGGGGTAAGGATGGAACTTGATTGGATAGCATACAGAACGATCTGTGACAACTTTAGCCATGGTTCCTCTTCTCCACAATTCAACACCCATACCTCCTATGGAAGTTTCTTCCTTACACAGACCACTATTATTTTAGAATATTTATCATAATCAATTTGGATCAGTTTAAGAAAGATCTACCTATGCAGTTCCTGAACTTCTTACACAGGAGATGAGTTCATAATTGAGAGATTTTCAGATGCAGGGTATCAATGCCTCTCCACACTCCACTTTCTTGGTTTCATGTCATAAAAATATATTCCCAGGTGATTTCAAATGATGAGATTTAGTCTATTTAATGTGTGATTTATTTATTTTAATGTTTATTTATTTTTGAAACAGACAGAAGGTGTGAGCAGGGAAGGGCAGAGAGCTAGGAAAACAGGATCCAAAATGGGCTCCATGCTGTTAGCAGAGAGCCCAATGCGGGGCTCAAACTCTTGAACTCATGAACTGTCAGATCATGGCTTGAGCTGAAGTCAAATGCTCAACGGACTGAACCACCCAGGTGCCCCGTAAGGTGTGATTTTGAAATCTCAGTATCATATATGACTTACAGAAACAAATGATTGTTATTCTCTTCTCTAGAAAATTTCATTTCTTTACCTAAAAAATAAATGTCATGCATGCTAAATATACTTTACTTCATAATACTGGGCCTACATTTTCTGAATAATCTTTATTCTCTAAGACATTGTATCCTGGTGATCTCTTTATAACTCGTATTTAGAATACTCTATATTGCCATCATATTTAGTTTTTGAAAACAGAGAGTTGTTCAAAGCATTCTTCTCAATGAAGCTCCTTGATAAATTCCTTTGACTACAGGATAAAGTCCAAGTATTTGGCAGTGTTCTCAAGGCCCATTTTTATCATATGTCCTGTTTCTTTTTATCCATACGCTCCAACATTTCCCCTCTACCCCCATGTGGGCCACAAGCCCATGCTTGTAAATGGAAAGTGCTTTAGGTCAAAGCAACCCACTGAATGACTATGTTAACGTGCGGAGCATTGTAGAATAAGGCTAGCTCTTTATACTCCTCTGGTGCCATGTCAAACCAGCTTTTAACTTGATCCTGATCTTTATCAAAAACAAAGGAACAGGAAGAGAATTTGTACCTCTTTGTAGGAAGCAGATGCTGAGTATTCCATTAGTGGCAATGTACTGTAGAAATTATTCACTGGTGGATTTAAGCTCCCATTTCTTTTCTGCCTGTGCCCAGAATTTAGAGTATCTTCTACGTAGTTTGGAATCCCACTTTCCCTTTTATAAAATAGCCCAGTTGCTTGGACCACATATACTAAAACTTAGGGAATAGGTGCTTCCTAAAGATTTTTTAAAGACTGATTGTCTTAAAAAAGTCTAGAGAACTATACTTTAGGTCAAGATGAGTAACAGGAATTGGATTTACACCCTTACTTGAAGCAAATTTTTAAAAATGTGCCACGTATATGAGAAACAACAGTTTCTCGAGATCTGAACATTAAGCTAGGAAAGACAGCGATCCCTAAGAGACGGGGAAACAAATGAAGTGAACCCTACGATCGTCCTAGCTTACTGCCTGGAGAGTTTCCAGGCCTTCATTAAGGGAGATGGAGCTAGGAGCCCAGGAAGACAAGGTAGCTGAAATTCACAGGGCAGAGCATTGGAGCAGAAAGAGAGGGACAAAGATATACATACAAAGATCTAAAGAGGTTATCCTCATATTTTTGACTAAGTATAGATTATTCATATGAATATACCACCTGAGGCCAGGTAAGGAACCACCTGAAAGACAAAATGGAATATCTGGTGTTCACATAGGGCAGGGGAAAGTTTTTGATCTCATAAGAGTAAAAAAAAAAAATCTCAAAATTCACAGGGCATAAGCTTGAGTACTCAGAACGGTTTGATCCCCATAATGGGAAAAATTAGCCTTAGATAAGAATGTTCCTTTGTTCCTGCTTAATAAGGCTTGTAACCTAATGCCATCTTAAAATAAAGCCCTTGAATATGTGTATATGTGAAGACCAATGGTTTCCCCTAATTTCAAAATAATTATGCTGAGTGAAAGAAGCCAGACACAAGAGTATTTACAGTCTTGTCCTACTTCCGTGCAGTTCTAGAAAATGCAAACCAACCTATGGTGACAGAAAAGAGGTTGGGATAAGAGAAAGGGAAGGGTGGGATTTTTTTTTCTATTGATATGTACATATGTGAAAACTTATCAGAGTGTACCTTTTCAGTACCTATAGTGTGTTGTATGCTAACTGTATCTTAATAAAGCTGTTCAAAATGTTTAAGCTGATATTTGTTTGCTTATGGAGAGATTCAGTTTCTTTCTCTCTCCTTCAAATTCTGTGCATCACAGGAGTTAAGATTTAGGCAACCCACCTAGTCAAAAGTGGAAGGCTGAGGTTCTGGGGCAACAGGTTCGGCATCGTCAGGCTCAATCGCCCCAGGGTCAACTGCAACACGTTCTGGGTTTGGAGGTGGTGTCGTACGTGTGGATACTTGAGGTATAGCTACATAAGGTTTGGCAGCAGTAGGCAGGGGAGCATTGAGTGAGAAGAAAGGTCCTTCGGGTTTATGTGAGTTAGGGACAAAGTGGGGAGATTCCCTAGGAGGAGGAGAGGGGATCCACCAAGCAGTGGCAGGAAAACTAGGAATGTGGTGGAAGGGGTCTCCAGGAAAGGTGAGAATCCAGGGAAATGAGGGCACCCCTGTATCAGGGTCAGGATTCTCAGGGTAAGGGGGGATTTTATTCTCTGAAGGACGAAAAGGAGGAGCAAAATCCCTGTCTGACATGGGATAAGGAATATTCAGAGATGGGTTAAGTGGGTAATGATTGCCACCATAATCCTAAAGAAGAAGCAAAGAAGTCAGTTAAAGTTGATTGTTTTTATCTATCCTATCTATATATTACTTATGTTATGACTGTAATGATATATGATGAGTGAAGATTATTTTTGTAACAATTCCAATGGAATCTCTTTCTCAAGGCTAATACGCTTCTGTAATTTTTGAATTAGGAGACTAATAATTTCTTGAGAAAACTGAATAAATCTCAATTTAGGGATACATATTTTGTGTTTAGGCAGATCAGAGTGTTTTAAACTGCACAATATGCCAGCTTAGGCCAGGACAAAAAGAGAAGGAGAGAGTGTGTGCAGTATAGGATTGGTATTTCCAGGCCTCCTTCTCTGTACCCTCCGCCCAGCCCACTGATCTCATTGCCGGCTCCCGAGAAGTCCAAAGTGCCCCACCGAAGCATTCACTTTGTTATACCTCTTCCAGGTGCCCTTTTGATCTCCTTCCCATCCAGCAGCATCCAATTCCATTCATCAAAGCCTAATATCTCAAACTGTTATTAAGAAGGAAAGCAGACTGGATGTGGATGAGTGACTACTGGCGTTTTTTTTTTTTTTAATTGAGATATAATTGACTATAGTTAATACTGTATTGTATATTTGAAAACTGTTAGGACAGTAGAGCTTAAAAGTATTTGTCACACACACACACACACACACACACACACACACAAAATAAATAAATAACAAAAGCTTTCACTACAAGGAAAAAATTGTAACTATGTAGTAATGGATGTTAACTCAATGTGGTGATCATTTTGCAACATATACTGCTGGCTTTCATATTTAGTTTTCCCTGTGGTGTTTGTGTTTTAAATGAGATTATTAATGTTGCTGATGCATTTACTGTTAAATTTCACATGATTTCTTTCAGTATAAGTGTTGACACATATTCCTCCAGTTGCTATCCAGATTTGTCTATTACATGTATGTAAGATTATCGGGGGGCTGTAAGGTCACAAAATTACGTAGAAATTTACAAAAAGACATGTCTTGGTCTCATCTACATGACATTTTATTTCCTATCATAAATTTGTCAGTTTCCATGAGCAATTTTGAGACATATTGGTTTATATATCAAGTTCCTAGATTCTTTGATACATTGCAGAGTTCAATTACAATTTAAGGAATTTTAAATGTGTATAACATAAATATTTTAAAATATAATAAACTATATATATAATATTTTTAATGTGTTTATGTTAATGCTTACCAGTTGATGAACTTATTTCATTTACATGTATACCAAGTTAACTAGTCAACGGCAGACACCATTTATGAACTAGACCCAATTTCATATTTGCTAGAAAATACTGCCTTCTTTATCATCAGTACTTTTCTATTATATATAACTTTATACAACTAATTTTCAGTTTAAAGCATTTAATCTTAAGTGCGGGGAGTGTAACTGGGCAAGATATCAGTATGAATAAGAAAATTACAGGATGTATAAATATACATGTGCCTATATTTATATATGCATTTTAAATGAGCCCATCATAGCAAGAAAAGAGAACATGTTTCTAAATTACTTTCCAAGCCTGCCAAGGAAAAACATAATACTGAATTACAGTAAAACCTTGGTTTCAGAGCATAATTCGTTCCAGAACAAGCTAGTAATCCAAAGCACTTATATATCAAAGAGAATTTCAAGAACCATTGTGATTGTGTAACGTTCAGCATCACGTACTATTCGTATTGCAAGACTTCTCTCATTTGTTAAGTTAAAATTTATTAGAAATGTTTGCTCATCTTGTGGAACACTCGCGGAACAAATTACTCACAATCCAAGGTTTTACTATATTTAACATCATTAGAAAATACTATTTTAAAAAGAAAATAATAGAGAATGCATTTTAATATCTTATAATACAAGCAAATATGAATATATTTTTTACCTTTTCACCAGATGTGAGAAATTTTTAAAACAACAAATAGTGTTTATTTTAAACTTCATGCCCCTGAAAAATATTGTTCTTTAGATCTCTACCTATGTTCAGTGATCATAACTGACAAAACTCTCTAAGTAACTTAGGATTTTCTTTCTTAAGTGGTACAGTTATTTGCCTTGTTTTCCCGTGACTATGTAGACTCTTCTGTTATTCTAAATACTTCTTAAAAAATAGATACTGAATAGTTAATATTAATGTTCTATTAGTGCCAATGTTTTCACTCAATCATTAAATTTCTTATACATATTTATTTATAAACTTTCATATATAGGGCACCAAATATTTTGCTTCAATTTTGTGACTAGTTGCTTGTATAGACCAGTTATTTACATTAGAACATTATTTGTTTTTACCACAAAATCCCCTGTGACTAAACTAGGCTTTGCAATATAAATTCTCAGAAAATACAGATGTTTCCTCAGCAGCTTTGGGATATTTAAGCTTTTTGTCGATGGATTTTCAAGGATTTATTTTTTAAAAGTATAAAATGAGTGCCTACTATGTGCTCTCTGAGTGCTAGACATTGGGTTCCTAGGTACTGGAAAGAACAAACAAGGTTTCTTTGTTCAGGGATGATTTCTAGGCCTCCCAGCTAGTCCAGCTTCCTCATTAAAATTTAATATCGTATAAAAACAAAACACATGAATAAAAAGTAAAGTCAGATCTATAAATACAGAGAAAAAATTGATGCTTGCCAGAGGGAAGGGGTAGAAGGGATGGGTAAAATGGATGAATGGGAGAGGCGCCTGGGTGGGTCAGTTAAGCCTTGGCCTTTGACTCAGGTCATGATCTGGCTGCTCATGGGTTTGAGCTCCTCATGGGGCTCTGTGCTGACAGCTCAGAGCCTGGAGCCTGTTTTAGGTTCTGTGTGTCTGGTCTCATTTTGCCCCTCCTCTGCTCATGCTCTGTATCTCTCTCTCTCATAACAGTAAAATAATTAAAATAAAAAATGGGTGAATGGGAGAGAGAGATAGAGACTTATGAAATGAGTAAGTCATGGGAATCAATAGCACAGCATAGGGAACATGGCGAATGGTGTTACATAGCACTGTGTGGTGACAGATGGTGGCTAACCCTGCAGTGAGCACAGCATAGCATATAGAGAAGTTGACTCACTATGTTGTATACCCAAAACTAATGTAACATTGTGTGCCAACTATACTCCAATAAAAAATTGACGAAAAAGAATTTAATATCATATATGATATTTCTTTCCAATTTTAGGTTGGTTTCTTGAATTACTGAGTTAAAAATATTTGCTTATGCATCATATTTTCATTTTAAGTTATGATGCGTGATGCACAAGTGATACATGTTCCGGAGTGTTCACACAGACAAATGTCAGTGAGTTGTATTTGTGACCACACAGCCCTAGACTCTTATAATTAAAATATCAATTCTTATAAGAAATTCAAAGTAACACCTCCTACTGATATGCCCCAATTCGAGAGACCCCCCCCCCCCGAAAACAAACCACCAGAGTCCAGAGCTAAAGCCAAGTGGCAAGGGTCGTTTATTGCAGGTTCGAACCCTGTCCTCCGTGCACTCGTCGCCGGTGACGCAAGAGGCCCCGAGCAAGGATTTTACAGCTTCTTTTATAGACAGGCACAAACAAGTTAGGGATTTTTTTGAGGTTACAGAGTTGTTATAGGCTGACATTTAAATTTGAACGCTCAGCAGAACTTGATTGCTTCCCGCCTTTATTTCAAACCATTCATCAGAACTTGATTGGTTCCCGCCTTTATGTCAGATTACGACCGGGCACGCCCTGGCTGGTTTGGGGAACGGCGGCGGAAGGGAAAGATTTTTCTTTGCAGTTCTGAGTACACCTGGTAACTTTTCTCTTAGCCTCTCACTACTGTTCTCATTTTAACGATTATTTCAAAACCTTTCCATTCCTTTGCCATATATCTCATGGTATTAGGTCAAAAGTGTGCACATCCAGACCGTATCTCTTGGCTTTCCTTTGCTGGCTTGTCATGTTTCTCTACTGCATACTTGTAGATGGTACAAGTATAATTTTCTTAGCACACTCCTGTTATCAGCATTTGAGGCAAAAATGACAACTTACAAAAAGTCATATACTAGTCAATCGATGAATGCTGTGGCCTCATACATAGGGGTAATTTGTGGGTATTTTCTGCACAGAAATCATCTAGCTCTTTGGGACACATTCTTCCTATTAGTAATTCCTAGATCATGCTATCTTCTACTGTAATCTTTCATACAGGCAAAATCTTTCTAGATTCATTCCTTAATTTGTTCAAATAAATTTAGTACCTTGTCATAAATTTTATTGGGCATAGGAAAATATTTATCACTCTGCAGAGGGAGTGCCCTTACTTAATACTTCTGCTCATTGAAAAGAAATAAAGACCCCATGGGAAATATGTTAAACACAAATATATTTGTACTCCATAAACATTTTTCAATCAAATTTAACAGCAACAGTAGTCATACAATTGCATTGTAAAGAAATCCAAGACTTTTAAAATGTAAGATACACTTTAACATAAAAAACAAGCACATTCATATGCAAATGAAAAAAGTTTTACCTCATGAACATGGAAGAAGCACTTCTAAAACAAAGGAAAAATTAATTCCCTATGGTTATTTGACAACATCTGCACCCAGATTTCCATATTACTGAAGAATTTGTACAGTCTTATTAGTATAGTTTCTTTATTTTTGAAGTATGAATCACTAGTATAAATTGTTTGTTATTATCAACATATGGTTTAGGACTAAGTATGTGCCCTCAAAAGTTTTACTTTGGCTGATGGATTTTGGTTTGAATTTTTCTATGTGTACATCAATCTTCCCAACCAACTGAAAGATGATTCAGCTGTTATTCATATACCTGGTTTTACTGCTCCCTTTCACCTCTCAGGTTTTGCTTGCATTATGTGTGTGTGTATGTGTGTGTGTGTGTGTGTGTGTGTGTGTGTGTGTACTTGCACTTGTGTGTATATGTGTCACTTCTTTACAGTTGCAGGATCATATATTCAGTTGTTCTTCAATTAAGCTTCAATATATTTTAGAAATTCACCACAGATTATGCACAAGATAACAATAAAAAATAGTGGAAAACTCATCATTTGCTATTTTAAGAATTAGAATTTAATTAATTTTAAGAGATAGGATAATATCTTGAAATTTGCACAGGATGACAATAATAATTGTAAAATAGTTAACAATATCAAGTAGCATTTAAGTTCCTATTGTATCCTAAGTATTCTGCCAAGCACTTTAGATAATGATTTAATTCCCAAAACGATTCTATGAGGTAGCTGTCATAATTTTCTCCTTTTACAAAGGACGATGTTTAGCACACTCATTGGCTAGGATTAAAAATTTTCCTACAGGGGCGCCTGGGTGGCGCAGTCCGTTAAGCGTCCGACTTCAGCCAGGTCACGATCTCGCGGTCCGTGAGTTCGAGCCCCGCGTCAGGCTTTGGGCTGATGGCTCAGAGCCTGGAGCCTGTTTCCGATTCTGTGTCTCCCTCTCTCTCTGCCCCTCCCCTGTTCATGCTCTGTCTCTCTCTGTCCCAAAAATAAATAAAAAATGTTGAAAAAAAAATTAAAAAAAAATAAATAAATAAAAATTTTCCTACAGCTATTTTTTTTTTTTTTTGCAGCACAGTCTCATTTGTTTATGCCATGTTGAAGGTTGCTATGTCCATTTAAGCATTAAGTATATTTAAGTATACTCCACCAAATATTCCTTATGACTCTACCTAAATACCTTCAGCAATGAAACATCACTCCCACAGGAAGCCCAAGCTAGCTTTCCATAATTTGAAGACATAGACTCTTAAAATAATCTACATGGGATTCTGATTCCATGTAACTTTATCTTCCTGTAGCCCACTGCATTTTTGTACTAACCTCTTCTCCTTGCTGGGTAGCCATTTTCAGTTAACACAACTTTATTATTTTATTTTTTTAAATTTCTTTTGAAAAGTTTGTCACAACACAGGGACCTGGCTGGCTCAGTCAGTTAAGCATCCAACTCTTGATTTCTGCTCAGGTCATGATCTCTCTGTTCCTGGGATCCAGCCCCGTGTGTTGGACTTTCGCAGAGCCTGCTTGGGATTCTGTCTTCTGTCTCTCTTTTCTCCTCCCCCCACTCCTATGTGCTCTTGTTCTCTCAAAATATATAAACTTTTTTTTTAAAGAAAAGTTTGTTACAACAAAACTCATGCCTATTAACATGTCTCTCTGCTGCACTATTATCAAGACTATAATAACTTATGTCATTAACATGAATCCCTCCCTATCTACAATTATTCAATGGTTATACTGTGGCTATAATTTTAGAAGTCTATTTACTTACCTTTGTAAAAGCAACACACAAGATGCAGGACCATAATAGAAGCTTCATTTTGAGTGATCTTATGAAGATTAATTGTATAGTGGTTGTTTCAGAAAATATACAATATATATCTTAGTTATTTCTCTTTTCCTAGAGAGAGACAAAAGAACGCATGGCTTTATTAGTCTGAGTAGAAGCACCCTTAACAGAAAATTTGGTCCTGCTATTAACTACTGTCCCCATGACCTAACAGGAGTGATGCTACAACTCAAATTACCTGCTTTGGCAAATGTCCTTCAATAATTAATTGGCTTCTAACCAAACTTCTTTAAGTGGGAGTGAATTGATTTAGTTACATAGGGATACATTTTTGCAATTAATTTGTCATGGAGGGCTTAGCATAAACCATAACCAAGGTATGTGCCTTGGTTAGGCTCAGTCTTCTTCAAAGATAGTAAAATCAATCTCTGGTTGGTTGATTATTGGTTTATGTCTTCTCCCTTCTTCAAAATCATAAATTATCTCCCCTCTTAACAAAAAGTCAACATACAGACTTTTATATAATTTTATATATTAATATTTAATAAAATATTAATATATTATTTATTAGTTATATATACCACAACATATATAATTATACATTATTATATATTATATATTTATTATTTATATATTATTTATCATTATTAATATATATTATTAAACAGTGTATTATTTAATAATATATACAATTTATTTAATACTATATATTACAATATGTCACAATATACAATATGTTACAATATATTATAATATATATTATTATAGACATTTATATAATATTATTTAGTACCTCAAATGTGAAAAAATATGAATGCCCCATACAAAGTAATTTATTAGGAGTAATAATATCAGGTTCATGATATATTGCCAAATGAATATTCAGATGTTAAATATAGCTAACATATTTAATGGGCTATTTCTATTTATGGGTGATTTTAAAAATAATTTAAGTAATTCATTTTATCTTCTATAGTCTATAATGTTTTTGTGAAGTGAAAATGTATTACTTGTATGCTAACTATACAAAGCATATTCTAATAATACAAAATGTTTTCAAGTTTTAGTTGAGACTGTGAATGCTTAATTACCTAATTTGTAACAAGACCTAGGCTGCAAAATTATATTCATGGGCAAAGCCCTGGAAATTATATACTCCATCCATTTCTCAAAACATATTTTTTATTTTAGGTCGCTTGTTTACATGTTCAACATGGTTTTGACCACATATTGGATGATCTTTGCTGTAATGTTCTTTGGTATTATACATCTATTTTTCTGTTTTGCTTTGTGGTTTTTTTTTTTTTTTTTGAGAGACTATGTACGAAAGACATCAATAAGTTTTATATTGTTTTTAGGTAGTAAAAATATAGGAGACAAAGATCCGTGCCTCTTTCTCTCTCCCAATAAGTAGCACTGAAGAAATTCCTGACAGGCCCGAATACTTAGCTTTTCTTCAGCTATGGATACACTTTCATGTCCTAGATACATTGATATTACTTATCTCTTGTTTTTGCATTTATTTTTGTTTTTTGCTTACCAGCAATTTCATAGTCAAATATCTTGGCCATATTTAGAACTCTACAGGGCATGTGGCACCTCATTTGGAGATGCTTACTTCATCTCTGGCTTTATCTTATTTCCCCCAGTCTTGTTTTGTCCTCATCAAAATACTTATATCTTTTTTAAAAAATCCTGTTTTACTTATTTTGCAAGCTGTCTTAAGTCCTTTCAAAATGGGTTATATTATAAACAGAGGAACAAATTAACCAATCAAACAAATCTCCTAAAATTGTTTACAGTGCCAAAATTCCCTTCTGCTGTATTTTAACATTTTTGTAAAAAGAACATAAAAAATGTTAGTTGGTGAAACAAAAATATCATGAATGTATACCTAAAGAAGATAACATTGTAGCCTTCAATATAGACCAATTATTTTTAAAGTGGCCTGTGCTTCATGGTAGACCCTAAAGATTAACAATATAAAGTTAACTGATGTATTCATTGATCTCTCTAAAACCATTCCTTTTAGCTTTTTCTGGGTTTCTGAAACAGGAGTATTTAATTGGCTGGTTCCAGATTTTCATATACATATTATATGACAAATGTCTAATTTGCCACAATACTAATTGTCATATTTTCTAATAATTATCTAATAATTGTCATATTACATGGCACTAGAATAACTTAGAAGAACCCATCCCTTATCCCAGTATTTTGGGAACCTATCAATTTGATTATATACAAAGGCTCCAAAACATAGATAAATATAGATAAAAAAAAACTATGAAAGAAAATGCATATTCACCTTTTTAAATGTGGTTTGGAAAGAAATTCTATATTAGTAGTTCAAATAATGCCATCTTAAATTCTTATATTACAGATAACCCAATAAGCATAGTTTTACTTAATTTATATTTTATCTTAATGTGGCTATTAAATTAACAAAGCTCTTATGCATTAGCAATTCTATTAAAGATGAATAAGCATTTCTTCTCCACAAAGAATTTAAAGAATAAACTTTTCCTATAAGAATAATAACAAAGGATAGCTCAATTATAATTTTAGAGTTCTAAAAAAATCAAAAATAGAAAAATTCCAGATTTATCAATGTTTAAAAATCCCTCCCTTGTCCCACTGTCTAAATTTATTTATCCACTCATATATCACTTGTGATTTAGTCTTTTGAATACTCCAGAAGGAAAAAAAAAAAACATTTATGTCTCATTCAATTAATAATTTTCCATTCTCCTTTTCCTCAATTTTTTTTTTCCTTCTAATAGCTTTTAAGTGAGAGGGGATTATTTGACCCCACTCTTCAGTTCTTCAGAACATGAGAATTCCTGAGTAGAACAAACCCATCCTTTTAGGGTTTATGTGAACTCCTGAGTCCAGTCTGAACCTAAAGAATAAAAAAAAAAATCCTGTACTTAGTCTTCTCTTATGTAGTCTTAAAGTGATATTCAGATATGTGGTGGATTAGATTTACACACCACCCTGTGTTACTAACTTCTTGAAACCTGGAGAGAACGTAAATATGACATGCATTTATAGTCACCCTATTAACTGAGACCTAAGGGAGAATCTTTCAATAACGGAAGCATCTTTATATGGGGGTGGAGGGAAGGATACCTTGTTTCCAGGATGGAAACTAATGGCTGTAGATTTGATCTTGCTCTGGACACTATGCCTCAGTCCCTTTCCTCCGGGGGTACTTATAAGAAGTCTTTAATTTAATGTTACTTCTTTTGTTTTGAAATAAATCAGCTTCATATCTGAAAAAATAAAAACCTATGAGTTTTACTTATTTGGCTGTAAATTATTCCCCTTATTTCACAGCATCATAAAATCAGGGAAATTCCCATAATGTGGCAGTAAAAGACAAATTGAGAACTGTATTAAACTTAAATACTAAATACATTTTGAAATATTGATTACTGGATTGTTGACATTAATCAGAAAGGGTGATGAAGGGGATTAAATACGGAATAAAATGGTTTAACATAAATATTTTTTTTAAAATACCAGTGTGGTGGGGGTGCCTGGGTGGCTCAGTTGGTTAAACATCTAACTTCAGCTCAGGTCATGATCTTGCAGTTCGTGGGTTAGAGCTCTGCATCAGGCTCTGTGCTGACAGCTCAGGGCCTGGTGCCTGCTTCAGATTCTGTGTCTCCCTCTGTCTCTGCCCCTCCTCTGCTTGCTCTCTCTCTCTCTCAAAACTAAATAAACATTAAAAAATAAAATAAAATAAATAAAATAAAATAAAACAAAATAAAGTGTGGTGTCTTTTTCTATATTAGTGTTACAAACATGAATTACCAACTATGAATAAATATTAAAAACTTAAAGAGCTCTTCTGTCTTGTATATTTATTATTGACAACCATGTATTTCTAGCAATATGCAATATAAATAAGAAATGATAAAAGACAGTACTGGCTGGCAGTGCCCAAGTCATAAAGTAATGTGAAGTGATTTAGCTTGAATCATAGACAGGACTGTAGTATTTGTTAGAATGAGAGAACCCTCTTTTCCAAATACGTAACTTTCTTTCTGTGGAATCAATTAGCATAAACCCCCCTCACTAACGGCCTCACAGAAGGAAAAGTGCTCATATACAACCATAAAAATTTTAACCGTATTATCTACTAAACTACAACATATTTCTGGCATTCAGCCAAAAAAAAAAAAATGATGTGTGTGTGTGTATGTATGTATATACATGACAAACAGGAAGGCAAGAAAGAGCAGTCTACAGATTAAAAAAGGCAATCGTCAGAACATGGGTGAGTTATTACTGTGACTTGTTGGAACCAACAAACAGAGAATGTAAATAATTTTGAATAATATATTGAAGAATCTAATGGTAAGGTAGACAAGACACAGGATCACATAGGTAATTTCAGCACAGAGAGGGAAACTATAAGAAAGAATGAAATGGAAATGCTAGAAATAAAGGTTGACTAACAAAGAAAAAGAATGTATTTAGTTAGCTCATCAGGAGGCTCAACGCAGCCCAGGAAAGACGCAGAGAACTTGAAGATAAGTTTCCTTCTTTCTTTCCTCCCTCCTTCCCTTCCTACCTCCCTCCCTTTCTTACTTCCATCCTTCCTTGTTTCTTTCTTTCCTTTCTTTTTTTTCCCTCCTTTTTTTCCTTCACCTGATCATTCACTTAGACACATAGTACTGTTCTAGACCCTAGAGAATATGAGAAATGCAACCCAGTGGATAAAAAATAATCTGAGAAAAAAATTAAAATAAGGCCTTTGGAATTTAAAGCTCCAAAGATGCCACTTTTTTATGTATGAAGAAGTTAAAAAGGTGTAACTTAATTAATCCTCTATCTCAGACTGTTATACTAAAAAAATGGGTGCTATTAATTCTACTTCATGATTCAACAGGATGGGAAACCTATGGATTATATTTGACAGTTGGATAGAATGGACATGAAAAATGAGCTTACCAGTAGCTTTCTTTTGTTATATACAATATCGTACTTCACAAACAGTAGGTGATTTTAGAATAGTGATGGACCAGAACATACCTTGTGCTTTTGTAGTAATGGAAATAGGATGCCTTTTTCTCCGTTACTGACAGCTACTCTCTTG